GGAACGCCGCGGCGGTGGCATGGCTCGGTTTTTTCCTTGCAGACTTTAAGGAACAAAGCATTGCAGACACCGTTGAAATCCACTGTATACCATTCTCCACCCACATTTTTCTTTTTTGAGGTCTTTATTGGTGAACTTTTCCGTCGTGACTTTAAATTTTATTTTTTAAATTAGCAAACAGTAAAGTTGACTTTATTTTTACTCTATAGCTCTGTGAGTCTTAACACTTGTGAGTCTTAGCACATGATACTCCGCCATCACAATCAGAATGCAAAATGATTCCGTCACTCCCCAAAACTCTCTGGGCTGCTCCTGTGTAGTCACACTGTCCCCCCAACCCATCTGTTCTCTACCATGATAGCTTTCTTTTAAAGATATGATAAAAATGACCAACAAACATATGAAAAAATGCTCATCATCAATAATCATCAGGGAAATGCAGACTAAAACCACAATGAGATACAACCCAACCCCTGTCACAATGGCTCTTATTAAAAGGTCCAAAAACAGTAGATGGAGTGGATGCAGAGATAGGACCAGTCATACACTGTTGGTGGGACTGCAAATTAGTACATCTTTATGGAAAGTAGTATGGAGATTCCTCAAAGAACTAAAAGTAGATCTACCTTATAATTTAGCAATCCTGCTACTGGGTATCTACCCAAAGGAAAAAAAGTCATTTTATCAAAATAACATCAACACCTGAATGTTTATAGCAGCACAATTCACAATTACAAAGATGTGGAATCAACTCAAGTGCCCATAAATTCATGAATAGATTAACAAAATGTGGTATATGTATACCACGGAGTACTACTCAGCCATAAAAAAGGAATGAATGGAAAAAAACACACCACATATACTTCCTAATGATTTGGAACTAATTAATTGATGGGCACACATGGGCACAGAAAGAAGTAAAAATTGTTGGAAATCAAGAAGGAGGCATGGGAAGAGAAAGGGAAGGGTAAATGCCTACCTAACAAGCACAGGAATAATATTCAGGTGATGGGCACACTTATGGCACTGACTAAACCATTATAAAGTTATCCATGTAACAAAAACATTTGTACCTCTTCAATATTTTGAAATACAAAATTAGAAAAAGATATAATATAAATGCAATCATGCAGTATGTAATCTTTGAGAGCCATCCAAGTTGTTGCATGTGTCAGTAGTTTCTCCTTTTGATGTCTATGTAGTATTCCATTGCATGGATGGACTATACAACGGAATACTACTTTGTTTCTTTACCCACTCTCTTGAAGACATGGCCCCTTCGTCTCCTGATGTTTGTCTATGTTGTTCCTCTTCTGGTTCATTCTTCCCTCCCTCCTCCTCTTTGTCTGCCAAATATCAGTTTGAGACTGATATTGTTCATTTAATCAGTTTGAGCCCCTCTTTGGCAGGGACACCCCCTCAGACTCTAGGACAGATTAAGCCCCCGTACTAGGTGCTCCTCCTTACCCCATGCTTCTTCTGTGAGCCCAATCTGGGAACCCACTTTAAGGTAGTTTTTAGTTAAATCACCTGCCTTTCCACCATTCTGTGAGTACCATAAGGGCAAGTGTGCTGTTCCTGCTGTTTCTATCACTCAGCAAGTCCCCATAAATATTTGTTGAACTAATGAATGCTATTTGCTATTTTGCTTCTTGCACAGTTACCAAAAAAATTGAGACAGTTTGTAATAATGACATACTGCAATAAGATAAAATTATAGATAAATGATTGGTATGAAGTGAAATAGAGGAGGGATAAGAGTAGGAGACCTAAGGCAAAGCTAGAACACAAAAATTCATGGCATAACGTCTGAGCTTCCTAGCAACCGAAGACAAAGGGGAGGCCATCAGTAACAAATTTTGCATTGTTCGTTAGTGAAAATTATACCAGTTTCTCTGGAGAAGCTGAAGCTAAGGGAAATGTCTCATGTGGAACTTCAAAAAGGGACACGGAGATCTAACAGCAATTTTTTAAGTGCTGTTTTTTATATTAAATCTAATAGCTAGACTCATGAAGCTTTTTCTCGAAGCATTTCTTCTGTGCAAACTTGAAACAGTATGCCTAAACACCAGCCAGGAAATCTGCTTCCACACGGAGTGAAAGCCGTTTGGTCCAGAAACACAGCGCTGATCATCTGGCTTGATCCAGGGATAAAATCTAGTGTACCTATAGGAGTAGATGGGCTATATGTCCTTCAGATAATCCTCTGTGAATGCTATTTCTTGCACCTGGGCTTTTCATGACAGCCAGCAGCAGACAATTCGAGTTTATGTTTCCCAGTGAGCGTGTAGAGTGTTAGCATTCTGTGCTGTCAACGCAGGGCCGGCTCATGTCCTTCATAGACCAACCAAGCGGGTGACGGGACTGGCTTCCTCTCCTGGGATCAAGCCTCCTAACCAAGGCTCTTGCCTCATCAGGCTGTCATTTCGTCCCCGTGCCCAGGTGGGTCCCCAACACAGTTAAGGTGATGGAAGAGAAACTGAGGTTGCCTCTCCCCATTCCCCTGTTCCAGGTATGTGCAATGTCAGGAAGATCCCTTTGGAGAATCTGGTTCAGTTTCAGGAGGATTTGGACAAGAGAACTTTAAGAGAACCCCAGATCCTGAGGTTAAACATGCCAGATAGAATGTGAGGGTCAGCTAACACCTGGATACAGAACACATTCCCATTTACACGGTCTTTTCGCTGGTGTTCACAATGGCAGGACAGGAGGTGGCCTGGGCATGGCTTATTATCATCACTTCCATTTTACAGATGACAACGAGATACTTAGGAAGTTAAATAAGTTGCCTGGATTCGCCCTGCATAATGTGTCAGAGCCAAAACTCTAGTTTTCCTGGACTCGGATCCTGTGTTTTTTGCACTTCCCGTTTAAAATATTAACATACTAGAATACTACATGTTAATGTAGTATAATGATTTCCTAGAATAATAACTGAGAGAGGCAACTTTTATCTTTAGATCAAGAAGGAGTTTCCAACTATAATAAAAGGGGTTTGGATTAGACGTTAGGAAGCTCTTTCTGCCAGGAAGAGATATGAGTCATAAGAACAGGGCACTGAGGGGAGATTCTGGAATTTTCTTACTTGTAACCTTTAAAAGCGTGAGTGCTGATCTTGATCGGAGAATAATCTGGGAGCTGTCCTGTTTAGAGACATCCATGTCTCCCTTGCACTTTCTTTCGCCTTCCGCCCTACCCTTCTGTGGCCAAGCCAAGCATGTCGGGGGAGTGGGCGTCAGTCTGGGGCACCTGCCACTTGCTTATTCATTCATTCAACAATCCTTCTTGTGCTGGACCATAGCCGTATCAGAGCCTCAGCAGGAGATGTTTTTCACCGCAGATAATGCAGATGAAGAGGCTCTAATGAAGGGACTGGTTTCAGAGGTGTGAGCAGGCCAAGGGAACCAGCGAGGCATGGTGAAGGCTCAGGACTGTCAGGACAGCCAGAAGAAAGAGAGTTACTAGCGCTCACTTACTGGACTCGTGGAAGAGAGGCTGTCTGGCAAGGGCTGGAGCCATGGAGGCACCCTCCCACCAGATCCATGGTGTTGAAGCAGGGAGGGGGTAGGGAAGAAACCCCCTTCCCTTTCCACGCACCTGCCTTCCCATCTCCCTCTGATGCCCACATTGGCCACACCCAACAAGGAGCCCATCATCAAGAGAGCCTGGGGGGTGTAACACCCACAGGTCAGCACCCTGAGGCCAGAGCAGGACATAGAATGGACCGGAGTGGGCAGGGCGCACGTGGACAGTAACCAGAACAGTAGGAACAAAACCAGCACAGCCCCTGCCCTCCTCTGCCTTTCATCCGAACGGGGAAGGCAGACAATAGACATCCAAACAAAGGACATGGCACAGCAGCAGAAGCCATGGGTGCTGTGGGGCAAAGCAGAGCAGGCAGAGTTGGCAGTGGGAACAGGAGCTGTTTCAGATACAGCGGTCAGGGTGGCCCCTGAGGGGGTGACATCCCGCAGAGCCCTGAGTGACAGTGACAGACACTGGCCCAGCGTCCCTGTTTCAGGGCCTGGGAGTGTGATTCTGGAGAGGGAAAAAGTGAGGGGGACCAAGTGAAGGCTGGTTCCCTGGAGGTCCCCACCCCTGTAGCTGAGGGTGAAGCCCCCCGTGGTCGGGGCAGGTACTCTAGGAAAGGACAGAGGGAGATACCCCACGGTGGGTGTGCCTGCGATCCCCAGTGCCAAGCACGAGCCCGGAGCCTCCGTCTCAGCTCTGCCGGGCCAGGCCGGCTGCAGGCGGCTCACAGGGCCCCGCACAGCCATGGCAACAGAGTCGTTCTGAATGAGGCGGAACGTGGCAGCGCTGTGCGGGGGTTTCGGAGCTTACTCAGCGAGAGACGAGTGTGGGGAAGGAAGGCCGCAGTTACCGCTTGCTAGGCAGTGACCCAGAAAACGCCGCAGACTCCCTGGCTTCTCCCCAAGAGCTGGGAGAGGGTGGCAGCTGGTGGACAGGTGGTGCGGCACCCACTCCCAGCCGCCGCTGTTCTCCGCCCTGGTCACGGGGCTCTGCAGACGTCTATAAATGGGATTGTGAGGTGCCCACGCCCACCTCCCCCTAACTCACACACGGACACAGCCCCCACCATCTCTCTCTTACACACGCACCCCAGGAAGTGCAGGGTTCCATACGAGGGGTGGCAGGAACACTAAACTAATACACAGTGGCTCCAGGAAGGCTTCCTGGAGGAGGTGACATTGAAGCGGATACCAGACAGCAGAGTGGGCATTAGCCAAGCAAAGGGGATGCGGGGAAACATTGCGGGCAGAGGGAGCAACGCGCAGAGGCCGGGAGGTGAGAGAGTGCCAGCCTGCCCGGGGTCAGGGGCTGAGAAGAGTTCAGAAAGGGTATGAGAGAAGTGGGGCGAGCCTGGAACAGGTATGTGGCTGGTGGCAGCCGTGAGGGGGCCTGGCGTCATTCCCGTTCTCCTTCCAGTCCCTCCTGTGAGCCCTCAGCTGGAAAGGTGACAGTCACTCTGATCTCTGCAGCACTTCACAGTTTGCAACGTGCTTCCTGGTCCGTTTTTCATCAGTTTCCGTGCCAGGGTTACGACAGACAGCAGGGCTGGGACTGTGAGTGTCAGTGAGGACGGGGGCTCCACGACACTCGGCAGCTGGTTCCAAGGGCACACAGCTAAGTCTGAGTCGGGACCCACACGCTGCGCTCCTGACTCCCGGTCTGAGACCCGTCTCCCTGTGAGCGTCATCCCCTGGCCTATGGCGAGCACAGCTGGGTAAGTGATCCCCGCAACGGCTCCGCCCCGGCCGCCAGCCTGCAGGCTGGACCCCATCAGAGATCAGAGAGCAGAACCAACTCCCCTGCCTGCCGGCCTCAGGCACACGCCCCGACACGCATGCATGAGTGTGAGTGTGAGGCGCTCAGCCTCCAGGAGGCCCTGCCCGGCACTGGGCTCTGGCTGAAGCGTTGGCTGCCAAGTCCCGTCCTGCTCCACTGCTCTGGTCCGGACCCCAGCCCTGTTCCCAAGGTGCTTTCCCTCCTCCTAAGATAGCAGGAGGTTGCAAGTTCTCAAGTTTCAACACCTTGTTTTGCAGTGGCTCTTCCGTCTTGGATTTTCCACCTGGCCCTACCGCCTTTCATGCCACTTGTCCCATGCTTTGTCTCACGTTCGCATCTTCTCTCTCACGTTCCTTCCTCCCTTGTTCGGGAGTTCTGCGACCATCCTGAGCTCCCTGTCCTTTCACAGATTTTGTCCCCTTTCCCTCCCCTCTGTGCTGGGCTGCCCGGCCCCAGTGCTCTGACTCCTTCCCCTCAGTCTCCACCCCTTCCTGGGCACTGCCTCTCATGCCAGTCTCCATTTTTCTCACAGCAGTGTCCCCCTAGAGAGAGGAGCCCCAGGCCCCAAGAAAGCTGGCCTGGAGGGACTGGGCCTGCTTCCCAGATCTCTGCTTCAGGGAGTCGAGTGGAAGAGAGGGCATCACCATTCAACTGCATCCAGCGGGAGGGGGAGGAGACTCTGAAGGAAAGAGCAGCTATTAGTCACCAGGGAGAGAAAAAGAAAAGGAATTGGTCAAACAGCAGGTGGTCCAAGCAAGCTCACACAGTCCAAATCAGCCCTGAATTTAATAAGGGGACAGGAATTAGAGGCAGGCAGGGAAAGGCATGACTACGGCTCCCTCTTCCCTCCTTCCTCCAGCCCAAGGGGAAGGAGAAAGGTAGCCTACAGGTAATAGGGTGCTTCCTATGGCCACCCTCATCACTTTAATCTTTGGTAATCCTTTCCTGGATCTGCTCCTTATCTATTGCAGTCTTTGCATATTAACTATTTACCAAATCTTCCCTTGTGCCATGTAGGGTAGCCAACCTGCCCCATTTGCCTCTGGTGTCTTTGGGAGCTGAAGGGAAGAATGACAGGGGGCAGTGAGGAGAGATGTAGGCAGGATAGAAAGGGACAAACTGCTCCTAGCATCCCTTCTGTGATTTTGGGGGCTCCAAACATCCCTTAAGCATCTGGGCAAACAGCACAGAACACAGGCTCCTTTGTAGCTGAGTGTTTGTTCTACCTCCACTTCTTTCCCTTTAACATTGTTTGGTCACAGGAACAAGTATTATTTAAATAAACTCAAAAAACAGTTAATGGCGCGTCTAGGTATCAGGCTCTGGTGCAGGTGTCAGGGTCAGAGATGAATAATGCGTGTCTGTGCCCTCAAGATGTTCACAGTCTAGAGAGAGACAAAGACAGGCACACAGATGAATCAATCCAGTGGACGTGCAAAGTCCCATGGTGACCCGGCTCTGCTTGGAGGGCTAGGAGAGCTTCACAGAGCATAGCCGCTAAGCAGAGACTCAGAAAATAAGGAAGAGCTAGCCAGATAGAGCGAGGGTAATCCCAGCACATGGAAGAACAGCGCTCAAAGCCGTGGAGTCATTCGTGGGTATGGTGTGTTTGCAGAAAGTGAGAGGATATAGGAGCAAGAAAGAACCAGCCAGGGCAGACTAGTGGCCAGTGTCCCCTCTGGGGCTCTGGGGGACCTGTGTCAGCAGGATGGAACGCTCAAGAGGCTCCTAGAATCCTGGGATGAAGGAATCGCCACCCATCTCCCTGCACTGGTCGATGTGACTAAACCACACTTCTCAGGGGAAGGTTCCAGAGAAGGATGAGGGGGCCAAGAGGCCTTTGGTCAAGAGGCCTTAGAAGAGGCTGGGTTTTTTGCTAGCCTGGCTTTTGGGGGCGCTGCCCAGGGCTGTAGATCCCAGTATAATGGTACACTGGTCTTTGCTGTTGCTTCTAGTCGTGAGGGTCTTCGCAGCTCCTCCCCACCCCCACTCCTCGGATCATGTCCCTTTCCCCCCAACGACAACGGCCCCAGGCCAGTTTGTTTGTTCCTTCCCACCCACCCCACCCTCATTCTATGGCAGAAATGGGAATAGAGCCCTGAGGAAGCCCAAGGAAAAATAGTGCACAAGACCTTCAGAAGGGGTTTTCTAATAAATGAGTACAATTTAGAAAGCAAATTGGAAGAGTATATCAGGAGTGTGCTTCAGATCCCCAATGGCTCCCCGCTCCCTTCAAGACAGAATGCAAGCGCCCGGCACAGTCCACGGGCCGCCCACCTGCCTGCCCCGGCTCCTCGCCCAGCGCCAGCCTCTCCAGTCCCTCTCTGCACGCCCGGCTGTGCCCTGACACTGCCAAGCCACTGGCAATTGCTGGAATTTGTTGTGTTTTCTTCGGCCGTCAGGACATGGATCTTTCCCTCTTCTCTGTCTGGAGCTTTCCTCTCTACCTTGAGCACCAGGCCGACATTTCCTACATTTTCAGGGCAAGGAGATCCTCTTCTGAAATGGTCTGCTTGACAATGTCCTTCTTGCTTGGATCAGTTGGAATCACTCCCCCCAGGCCCCCACAAGATTGTCTCCACCCTAATTGGAGCATTTTTTAAACAGTGTCGTGTATACGTCTGTGTCCCCACTAGACTGTGAAGCTTCTGATGACAGAAACTTGCATATCCTCAGTGCCTGGCACAGTCTCTGGCATGTAGTAGGTGTTCAATAAATATTTGGTGACAGCATGGGTGAGTCATAAAAATATTTGATCGCTTGACCTAGTAATCTCAATTCTAGGAATTTATCCTAAGGAAGTATTACAGGAGAAGGAAAAAGGAGGCACATGCAGCTATTCATTACAGGATTTTCTTTATTAGTAGAAAACTAGAAGCCATGTAAATGCCAACAGTAGGGGAATTGGTGAGTTACTAACTATTATACTGCCATTTAAAAGAATAACGACCGAGACTGTAACAATATGGAAAATGTTTGCCACACAATCTGTGGTGTATAAAAAAGGTATGTAAGTTGTATGTTCACTCTGATTATAATTACGTCAAACTAAAAGCAAGGGCTAAAAGATCATACACAAAGGAAAATTAGTTGCTGGGCTGGGTTTAGTCAACTAGAGTCATTTATTTTCCTTCTCTGAAATTTCCTTTAATGCTGTTATGATAATATTTATATGGAAAAAGGCAATAGCGATTCAGCTCATGAGCCGTGCAATCCAAGGCCTGTCTCTAAGAAGGATTTTGAAGAATATATTGTGCTTTTGTACAACAGCCTTAAGAAACTATAGATCACCCCCAAACGCTCTTGCTTCTCCCATTACAACCCCGTGAACCATAACATATTCAAACATTCTTAATGCTTCTTGTGCTTTCGGCTCACGACAGTATAGATTTAGGTTCTATCTACTTTTAGCTTATTCCTAGCCAGGCTAGTAAAACCTTATCGTTAGTGAGTCTACATAGCATGCTTCCCACGGACACCCGCATCACTTTGATCCTCTGTAATCCTTTCCCGGATCTGCTGCTCATCTATTGCAGTATTTGCATATTGTAACAAGTATTTACCAAATGCTCCCCTTGTGCCAGGCAAGGTGACCAACCAGCCCCCATTTGCCTGGTATTACCTCGTTGCAGAACTGCAAGTCTGGTATCCTGGAAAACCGGTCAGGCCCAGGCAAATCAGGATGGTTGATGTGGTTGATGTACCAGGCTCCACACTGCATGCTGGAGTTAAAGTTATGAACCAGATGAACGAGCTCCTACCCTCAAGGGGCTTACAACCTAAAAAGTGGGAGGCATCCTAAAAAATATCAGGCAATTTGCTGTTGCAATGGTGCTACAAAGAAGGTTGGCACCAACTACTATAGATAAGTAGAATATAAAGCAATGGTTTTTGCACATCATGTGGTTATGTGCTTGTGTACAAATGTGTGTGCATGTGTGTGTGTGTGGTGTGTGTGTGTGTGTGTGTGTGTGTGTGTGTATTTCGGGCCAGGGATAGCACACAGGGGAGATAGTATTTGAGCCAGATTGAAAGGAATGGAGGTGTTCTCCAAGCAGACAAGGGAGGTGGCACACAGGTGCATTCTGGAGCTTCAGGTCTGGTCCTGCATAGCATTCTATGTGTGGTCGCACAGTTACTGTCTCCAAGGGAAGGACAGTGCTCCTGTTTGGTTTCCAACACCCTTCTTTGTGTGACCCAGCAGTTGACCTTTTCTGAAATCTGCCCACTGGGTTCTAGTCTTCTTGGAACAGAAAGGAGTCCAGGGATGAGGCCCTATTCTTGGCCCTATTTGCTAACTAGGCATGCACAACACCTGGATGATGTTTGAATGCTCTCTCCTTGCTCCAGTCTGGTACAGTATCCTCTATACGGTTTTTTTCAATACCCAATAGCCCCACAAGCAGCCCCCTCCTTGCCTTACCCACTCTGAATGGTGTTGACCTTCAACGAGGATGTCATAGGGGCAAGGATTGTTACGGGCTAATTATTTCCCTGCCCAAATTCTTATGTTGACGCTCTAACCCCCACTGTGACTATATCTGGAGAGAGGGCCTAGAAAAAGGTAATAACAGTTAAGTGAGGTCATAAGGGTGGGGCTCTAATGCAATAGGACTTGTAGCCTTATAAGAGGAGAAAGGGACACTAGAGACCTCTGTCTCTGTCGGTACACAGAGGAAAGGCCCTGTGAGGGCACAAGGAGAAAGTGGCCATTTTCAAGCCAAGAAGAGAACTCTCACCAGGAACTGAATTTGCCTGCATCCTGATCTTGGATTTCTAACCATCAAAAAGAAATCTCTGTTAAGCCACCCAGCCTGTGGTATTCTGTTGTGGCCGTCTGAGCAGACTAAGACAAGGATGCTTTAATATTTCCTGGAGAAAGTCTGTTCTCTCTAACTGAATTGCAGCACTTAGGAGCAAGCAGAGACCCAATCTTAG